AATGATGTGTGTCATCAAATGATAAATAATTTTTGGAAGTTAAAAATAAAATTGAATTTATAAATTAAAAATCATAATGACATGAATACTTGTTTATGTTTAATTGACAGTGGGAGAAATTTATTGTTCTGTTAGGGGGAGCATGTTACTTGCTATTTCATTTTTTTTTCTTTAAATAATTAGTTTAATTCTGAGGTTTATGCCCTGAGGGTTACGTCTCAACTCACGAATACAAAATACCTCAATATCTAATTGAATAATTTCAAACATTAATTTCAGCCAGTTGCTGCCTGCTCATTGCACATCATGCTCAATACTCAAATTCACATATTGCTTGCATGACATGCTCATGTATAGTGATTCCCAAGCCTGCACCAAAGTATTCATCTTCCATGTGTTGCATGAGCATTAATCCTTTACTACCTCATCTCCTATGACCCCATCCCATTCCCGCCCCAAGTCGGTTGCCTGGTTTATTTTTCTCTACCCGCACATAAAAACTCACTCACAAATCCTATAAACAGCCACGCATCCACCAACTTTCCAATTCAAGACATTACACATCAAGTGCTCGTCTCCTACAATGCAATCACACGTCATGCATATCCTTTCTACATATACTCTCTCCTGCATCATTCAATCACAATAATATTCGTAACTACACAAGAAATAAACGTTTCTCTCACATAACTTCCATATCTTGTGCACACTAAACCACATTTTGCATTTTTCTCTCACAAAAATTCTGTATCTTACGCATAACTCTCATATCTGCATTCCCAATGAAACCCTATGAAATCACGAGCCCATTATGCTTGTTTTATAAACACACATATGCCATTCAGTCCACATCCTGGTAAACTGCAACTGATAAGCTCATGAGGAAAAAAGAAACAATAGAGTTAGCAAAACTGAAATTCAACAAGTCCAATTTGTCTGGTCGTATGTATGATGACTTTCAAAAACATCTTTCTGAAGTTGTTTCCGAAGACATCTCACAAAGTTGACAAGAGGATTAATTAAAAAAATTTTGTCAATATTATTGATGATGGTGATATTCATCTGTCTCTCTTCCTCCTCAGTTGTTGACTTTGAAGCTTTTCACTTAGCACTTTATACGCAAATCAGTAGTTCCATGTTCAACTTTCAAAAGAAAATTTTGATATCAAATAAGGGAGTACAATTTACCCTCATAGTATTTAGATTTTATCAAGTTCAAGATTTCTTATAAGTGCATACCTAAAATTATTTACTCACCTTGATTATATGGGAAAAATTTTGATTGAAGCTAGTCGATAGACTTCAAATATTTATTTTATAAAATATTTTATCAAGTTCAAGATTTCTTATATGTGCATACCTAAAATTATTTACTCCCCTTGATTATATGGGAAAAATTTTGATTGAAGCTAGTCAATAGACTTCAAATATTTATCTTATAAAATATTAATAGCAACAAATTGATTTTGAAAAGAGAAAAATATATCACATTTGGCTTAAAGCAAACAGTGGGAGAATGATAAGAAAATCGATCAAGATCTTGCAATTTCATTAAATGAAGTTTTCATGACCATGTCTGCTTAGAAAATATAGCTAGCCAAACCTGATTGAAAATTCCTCATAAAAAATTATGAGTTATAGCATCCTAAAGAGCCTCATAGATCTTTAATAGATACTTGCAAAAAGGGACAAGTTTAAACTGACTTTGACTATAAGAGAACTCCATGCCCTATCAGGCACGCCTTATGGCTCACAACTCAAACTGAGTCACTGGAGAATATCTAAACTTTAGCAATACTTATAATATTGTGATGTCATTTCACCATATCAACATATTAATATTACATCTTTACTAGCATGCAAATTTTTTAGGGTAACCAAACTTTGGTCAATTAAATTTATTATCCTCGCCAAACAAGTGAGGAGCATATACCGGTAGTCCCTTAAGCCTTAAGAGATTAATTAGTGCTTAAAACTTTTCTATTTTGTAGATTTTTTTTTTTTTTTTGCTTTGGATTTAATATTTTCTGTAGAGGTAAGATTAGACATAGATGGAGTTTTGTCAGATTATAATATCATTTGTATGTGCCCAAAGTGGTTTACATTGTAATTTGAGAGCATTTTATAACAAACAATTCCTTTTGGTAGAAATTTCTAATAACATAGCCATCATCGACAAAACATTATTTGAAGCATTTGTCTTTGTGATAGATTATAATTTTTATAATAGAATGAACTAGTAGGATAATAATGTGCAATAAATGTGCCTGTCATATAGGGGAAATGGATATGATTTAGTCATGTTGCTGTCATTCTTATGTACTCAATTTCCTTGCTTGTAAGGACAGAGTTTATTGGTTTGTGTCATTTTATTGAAATCATGCAATAAGAGGTACATCTCAACAAACTTCCCCTAAAAAACGCAATGAAACTAACAGGTCATAGATGTAGCATGAGACGTATGCCACATCCTTATTGAGGGTTTTTTTTCAATAAATGCCAAATGTATTTTATCCCCACTTAACCATCATCAACATGCCCCCTAATGCCCCACACACTTGGCCTACTCACAATATCAAAGGAACTTGTCGCAGTCGTCGATCACATCTAAATGTAGCCACTGGACTTCTCTGTCGCTACAGCCGGTCTTATCAATAGTAATTATCATCAGGGTTCTTTGCAGCCTCCACCATCATCCTTCTTTGTAGCCGCAACTGCTGTCCTATAATCACCAATAAAAAGAGATTGAACAATTCAAGAAGCTGCAAGGTATTCTCGAAGAAAATATCATATATTGATGAAGTGATCACCAAAAAAGTGCTGGTAGGAATCAGAAGATCAGCCACTACTTCCTGAAAAAAATCTAAGCCTAACTCCAAGTTTTGCAACAGACAAGTACAAATAAGGAAGAATCTTCCACCAAAGATTTGGGAGTCCTACAACTAAAATTGAGGACTTCTCAACTCGAGGAGGATCTTGAAACAACTAGAGAAATTAATCAAAAAAATTGGGGAAGAGGAGACATAAAATAAAATATTTTCAAATTTTATTTTCTGCTAATATTCAGATGACAAAAATTAAATCCATAACTCCTTATGATAGAGGACAGTATCGTTCAATGCCGCCAAGACTAGCCACAAAGGTTATGTTAGAACAAGTTGTTCACCATCCACCCATAAAGGTTCTCAGTAAATAGAAGTCAACGAGAATAAGGTACACTAGCTGAAAAGACAACGAAATCCTGAAAATGAAATCCAAACTGAAGTAACAAGAGGCTTTACAAAGCAATCAAAATGAGAGGATCATTTTAACATGCACATCGAAATATTACCAATATAGTACGAACAAAATGAGAATAACCAATGTAACCCGCTTCTAAAAAAACCCTTATGATAACAAGCCCAAAGACAATGAGCTCAATGGAGTAATTACCTATTAGATATAAATCAGATAAAAATATGCGAATTACCTCCACGCTAAGAAAACTCATAGAAAATTTACTAACATATGACAGGACACAAGACCAAGCAAGCACATAAATCTCATCATAAAAAAGAACATACTTGCCTTGGAAAAATGAAGGTTGTTTATGTTAATGAATCTCAGAATTTGAATGAAAAAAAATGGAGATTTATTGAGTGAAAACAACAACAACAACAACAACAAAACCTTTATCCCACTAAGTGGGGTTGGCTACATGAATCCTTTTTCTCCAAGTGTTCTATTTTGTTATATTTTCATTTAATTCTAATAAATTAAGATCATATTTTATACAATATGCCCAAGTCATCCTAGGTCTACCTTTGCCTTTCTTAATTGAGTGAGAAGGAGAAAAATTAGCAACATTCAAACCGCAAACAACAGTCATAACAAGGCGTAGAGGGTTAGGCAAATGAGGCTCAACCATGGGAGAAAAAGAAAGATTAAAAGTCTCGGAAATATTAGGAGTAATAAGAGGAGGTAACCTCAATGGAATGTCAAGCAAATCATTATGACAAGACATTGTAGGATGAATTGAGATCTGAAGGAACTCTAATAAAACAGGTAGTGCTAAAGGTCCCCTAACCAAGATTAAAGGAAGAGACCGACCATGACCTTAAACAAGAGGTGAAGAGCAAAATTCGCACGATAATAGTTTCCTTGAGTACTAGAGGGATTGAGGGTGAATGAGATATTGACACCATGTTGTTGCAATTGGCATCACCTACTACCAACTAATTTGAAACCCAAATTGGTGAAGCACATGCTCACATGACTGGCTATAAGCTGATTGCGTGGTGAGATTCTCTAACTGAGGTCAACACACGTGAGAACATAGCTAGAAACAAGCAAGGAGCAAGGATTGAGCATGTGTCTACATGAGCAAACAAAAAAGGAAATTAATCACGTGGCTCTTGCAAGGCCAGTGCACGGAAGGAGCGACGAGTAGGTATCAGGCAAACGTCAACTTATGGTTAGAGAAGACAGTATGGATAATGAAAAAATGAAATATATGTCAGTCGAATTTTTTTTTTAATCTATGCATACTACAAATTCAAGTAGTTTAACCTTTTAATTTACCTAAACATGCATTGTGGGGACTTCATAATAAAATTGTAAGATTTTACAACTTTACATATTTATAAATTACAAACCATTATTTTCTCAAACTAATCTAATGGGGTGATTATCATTCATGTATAACCAGAAAATTTTTAAAGATTCATGTAGTTTTATAATGTGCATTAATTATTTATTTTTCAATTAGCTAAAGAGAGTCTAGAATGTCACCAAGTACCATGGCTGTTGAATAACCATATCACCTTAAGGGCACCTTGAGCATTGGTAACACTAGATTTTGGCATACTTTTAAGTTGCCTAAATAATATAAGGATAACTTCAAAACAGAAAATTAAGTAACATATTGGGATGCAACAAATTGAAGGAAATGAAATCATCTAAGGGGCTGCATGGACAATATCAACATGCAAAATTTATTTGACAAAATATGAATTAGCCACCTCAGCATGCGAAACCCATTTCAAAATAGAGGATAAATTGGAAGAGTCTGTTGCCAAGCGAAATCCTTTCTCTTTTCTCTTTTCTCTTAATCCCAGTGATTCATTATCTGCAGGAAGAAGTTGCCGGTAGATGGGCTTGAAATGATGCTGCATGTTCTTTGGGATATACGAAGCAGGAAATACATCAACATGACCTGGATCAGATATGATATTTTCATTGAACCTGGTGAAAAACAATTGTTTTACTAAAAAGATTACACTGTTCGTTTATTTCAAATACTTATGACAGATATTTTATGCATTAAAATGACTAAAATAAATGATGAATCAAATTAGCGACAAGTAACAATCTAAGCCTACATAAACTAGAACAGCAATTACACCATTTAGTAGCGTTCTGGATAACAAAAACTCCAAAATATAAGCTTACAATAACAAGGAAATCATTTATAGTAAAAGCACAAATTTATAAATTTACTCATAATCATCATCATCAACTTGAATTAAAAGATAATTTAAGAAGAAAGTTCTGGAATGAGAGATGGATTATAATGAAATATACCTGACAAAGAACGAATGTTTATTGAAGGTAATGTAAACAAGCAACAATGATTCCTTGTTGTTATAAACTAGGAAACTATAATGCAATGGGAAAATATATACTTTCTTTTGCATTAAAATACGATTTTGCAATTAGAATTATATTCAAGGAAATGTGGAGAATAGTAACAAAAGTGGAGCAACAAAATAAAAAATAATTTCTTCTTAGAACGAAAAAAAAACTTCTTGCAAAGTTTTACAGGTGATTCTAAGAGAATTTAACAACACAATATAAAATTATAGTTGCATATCTTAAGAACATACAAAAAAACAACCAAAATAAATTATTTCCAAAAGATTAGGCAGTGGAACATGAAAGGTGCAAAAATATTACTCTTTCAAATTAGGTTGTTAAGGAAGCTAAACTGAATTCCATTAAAAAGATTGCCGTTGAAATTTGATAAAGTGAAGAAGCACAAAACTTTATCAAGCAAAAAAAAAAAGTTTTTTTTGAAGGATGAAAAAAATTTATTACTATTAAGAATTAAAATGCTTTAAAGAAAGATAGTAGCCTTGCAAATATTATGTTAAACATAGAAAAATTTAAAGCTTTTAATGAGTTGCATAAAAGGATTCATACTTGTTGCATACCAAAAAATTCGCGGCAGTAGAACAATAATCTAATATCTCAGCATTGTATGAAAATCTAATACACAAAAATGATTTAAAAAACAGCAAGAGAAAACACAAACACTTCTTACGTGAAAAAATCCAAAAAGAGAAAAAACCACGGAACAAATCGAATTGAAATGATCCATTATGAATTCATAAGTACAAAGATAGACCCTTCTTCTATACTTGGAAAGAAAGGTTATAATATTACACCAAGTACAATGCTTGTCTGTACACAATATATAGAAAAATATGTTATATTTCGAATGCAACGGTCGTGAGCAATTACAGTCGGAAGTTATCATCGGGTCTCCAATGTACCGTGTTTGGGATACGTCATTGCGCAGTATTTGAGATGCTTAATTGTATTGAGGATGTTTTGTTACAAAATAGAGTCACCTAGGGAACTTTATTACTCAACAGAGCCCACCACGATACATTATTACTAAACAGAGTCCATCAAGAATGGCGAGCAGGGGACAGTAGTCGATGATGATCGATAGCTACAGAGACCAAAAGCTATCATCAGGGTTTCAATCCAAAACAATATTGGAATTCTTTCCCTCCCTCCTTCAAGTCAAGAAAATAGATCTATTTATAAGCTCCAATGAGGGGCATTTTGGACTTTTGGTGAAGAATTTGGCAAACTACAAGTCGGATTGCACAGATCGATCCCCATGAACATAGGAGATTTTTTAATGATTTGAGATCCTTAATGATCTCAAGAATTAAGGGAGCTTAGGCTTATTAGATTCCTCTCATTGAGATGCTTTGACTGTAAGTACATCAAATTTGTTGACCCTCAAATTAACCATCCAAAACCTCCAAAAGCAGTTTAACAACTTAAACTTTGGTATTATTTGGCTCGTCTCGTCGAGCAAGTCAGTTTGATCGTATGTGTTAAAATCGGAGCTTTGGATAATCATTAATTGGAGTCAGAATGTTTTTTTCTAAAAAAATATATTAAGAGTAATAGTGAAATTAGATCCACATAATAGCAAAGTGAGAATGCGGACTTCTTATCACGATGGAAAGTTTCGTAGCAACAAAAGAAGATAATAGAATTCAAGAGAAGGGGGTTGTCATATAGCAAGCAAACAAAGGTTTTCATATGATATTCATTGATCTAGAAAATGCATAAGAAAGATTACTAGGGAGAATTGATTAAGAGCCCATCAAACGGTAAAAAGTGCATGTCAACGATATATTAACATTATTAAAGATAAGCATGATAGAGCACTAACTAATCTTAGAAGTATTTGTAAGGAAATATAAGAGTTTTTAATTATAATAGGTCTACATCAATTATCACCATTGAGTTTGGATTAGTTATGGAGATGTTTATAAAGAATACTCAAAATGAATTGTCTTGTGCATATTTTTTTGTGAATGATATAATTGTTATTAGTTAAACATCAATAAATCTAAGTGAAAAATAATGAATAAGAAAAAGGATAGAAAACATAAAATTAATAGAATAAAAAATTGAATATAAGATCTAAAATTTTAATTGAAATGATATCAATAATTAATAACTCAAATTATTAGAAAACAACATGATATCAAAATAAAATAGATTTCAAGTAACTTGAATTTATGACATAAAAAAAAGATATAGATGAGATGTGAATTCTATAACTAAGTGTGGATCATGAAAAAAATGAAATAAAGCATCTCAAAAAACATAATAAAAGCATATCATGGAAATTTAAAGGAGAACTTTATAAAATTGCAACTAAATCAGTGATATTTTATGAAATTGAGTGTTGGCAGGTTGAAAAAAAAAATTCTTGACATCTGGGGGCAAATTAAAAATTATTATATAAGAGGATTAACAGGAGAAACATCTAATTAAAACAAATTAGATGAAAACAAAAATTACATAGTTTACAAATGGACAATAAAGAATATGCATCTATCAGACAAATAGATAAAACTAGTGTCATTGCACTAATAAAAAGGGCTAGATGGTAGGTTACATGTGAGTTATTCAAAATGATTAGTGAGAAGTAGGTTTTACAACATGAGAACTTAGCAAGAAAAAATTACGAATATGGAATTATAAACTCTATTTTAGTGATAAAGATAATGATTTAGTCGATTCTTACTGAGTGAACAGGAGTTAATCTAACCTAGCACGTTTTTTTAAACAACATACACGCATATCACATTAGGCATTAGGCATGACTATTTTCTAACATTTAATATGATTTCTACATGACCTTCATATTAGTGTATCTTTTAAATTACATCGTTAATGCCTGAAACACAAGTTTATTTTTTATTACCTTATCTACAATGGACATGGATATTAACTTTTAGCTGATATAACAACTTTTACTCTACCCATCATAATTATACAACACATTGATCTTAGTATTCTGATTACTATCACTTTAGTGACTTCTTGTGTCACACCCGAACTGAGCACTCGAGTCAGATAGAGGTATGATAGAGGAAGAAGACTCTGTTAGACTGAATTTTCATCATCATTCTCACTAAATCATCACAAGCAGATCCATACATTTCATCTTATTCAATATTCATTAATATTGAAATACACAAGGAAACATACAAACATAAATCTCATATCATACAGAGATCTACTCGACACTTACAGATGAAAATGTATATTATAGTCAAAAAATTGTCAAAAAAATCATTCAAAATCTTTACAACAAAAATTGTACAAAAGTCGGATCGCGTACCCTTATTTAAAACTGCGCAATATAAAGCCCGCCTTGTCGCCACCTAAGCTCTTTTTACAAGAAAATCACAACGAGGCATGCCTCGCCTCAAAAAAGCCTATTTTCTTAGATTATCCATATTTTTAAATGCTAGGACATTCCCTGAAAGGGTCGTGCGGTATGCCTGAATACAATGAAAAGTGTGCAAGGGACGCTACACTTGCGCCCGGATAGAGTGTCAAATAAGTGAGGGTTCCCACATTAAAAACGGATACGAGTAAAAAAATTAGTCCATGAAACTAATATTAGGATAAGAACTTGGAATATAGGTACTCTTATAATAAAGTAATGAAATTAGTCGATAGTATGATTCATAGAAAGATAAATATCTTATGTATTGAAGAAACTAAGTGGCTTGGGGAAAAGACTGAGGAGATTGATAGCTTAAATTTTTGAAATTTAGTATTCATGTAGGAGTCGCACTAGAAATGATGCAGGTGTAATTATTGATAATAGTTTGAAAGATAATGTTATAGAAATTAATAGAATTAGAGATAGAATTACACCCTTAAGATTGTTACTGATACTAATTTTTTAATATTATTAGTGTTTATGCTCCTCAAGTAGGTTTAGATATAAGTTCTAAAGATAAATTATTGAACGACCTGGAAGATTAATACAAATGATACCTCTTGAAGAAATATTATAGGAGATTTAAATGGACATGTTAGTAGAATGGTAGAAAATTTTAGAAATATTTATGGTGTATAGCTTTGGAATGATTAATAAAGAAGGTAAATCATATTAAATTTTGTTTAACGAAAAATTTTTTTATTACAAATATTTTAAATATTTTATTTAAGAAAAAACAAATATTTTATTTAAGAAAAAAGATAAGCATATTATTACTTATAAGAATGGATCTAATAAACACAAATTGATTATTTTCTTATGAGAAGCAAAGATTATCGAAAATATAAAAATTGTAGGGTCCTTCAAAGTGAGAATTCTAGAACTCATCGTCATAGAATTAGGAGGCACCTAAAAGACAAATAAAATTATTTTCAAGAGTAAACTACAAGTTTTCAAAATTTGACATGTTCACCAAGAAGCAAATTCTATGTGGGACACAGTAACAAGCACTATTAAACAAAAAACAAAAGATGTACTTGGAGAATCAAAAAAAAATGTTTCTATAAACAAAAAAAGATGGTGGAATAATAATGTGCAAGAAAAGATAAAATATGAGAAATTATGCTATAAAAATTTGTTTAAATGTAAAAGCTTAAAAAATTAAGAAAAATATAAAGTGACTCGTAAGGAG